GGGGGGAAGATGTAGTCGGGTCGCGACGCCTGCTTGGCTTTCACTGCCCAGCTGGGCCGGCGATCGATGAGAAAGCCCGAGGACAGAGATGAGTGTAGGGGGTGGGGGGAAGGCAGCACGGTTGGGTTGGGTTGGGTTGTGTCGTGTTGTGTGTAACGAGGGGTTTCTTCGCCGATTTTTGGCACAGTCGTGTCGGGTCGGGCCGGGCCGAGATCCCGCGCTACTACTACTATGCTGCTTTTGCAGCTGCTTGCTCGCTCCGAAAGACTTTTTTTTCTTCTCTGTCCTCATTTAGATTTCTTTCGAGGATTTCTTCATCATAAAGTGTTTATCTTACGTTTTTGTTTGTTTATGCAAACTGCAATGCTCAATTTGAGTTTTCTTTCGCGGAATTGTGTACTCCTGGAGTAACTGCTGTGAATTGGATTCTATGGTGGGACAGTGTGTTTCCGGTGTTTGGGTTCTTAGTTCTGGTTAACTTTTTGGACTAGTATTCGTTCATCAGGATTCAAATCGCCACATTTGCTGTTTAAAAACAAAAACAGCAAATGCGATAGATGAATAGAATACAGTCGGGGGAAATGTTGGTGAATGTAAGAAAGTGATTTAAAACGCTTGGCCTTCTTTAAAACTTATGAAAGGAAAAGAAATTCCGCGCTTTTCAAAGTTTTAAAGAAGGAAAAGCTCCTCAATAAAATACAACATTTTTTTACACGTAAGAAACGTCTTATTTTTAGGACGAGTTGTATTGTGTAAGCGTAAGTCAATTGTTTTATCAATATGAGGCACACGGTATCCATTGAAACTGTCTTGAAAAAACGGTCTTCACCGATATTCACTGTTTTCTGTAGGATCTGATTTTTTTCCCCTCGAAGTTGAATATAATCAAGGGACGTTTACGTTCAATTTTATTTATGAAGTTATTCCTTTTCACGACGAAACTTTTCTGAAAGAAAAGGGAGCGTCGAAAATAGCGTATTATGAACAAATCTTAGCCTTTTCAGCTGTATGGTGACAAATGAAATAATTCATCAGCATTTTTATGATTTTTAGGATAAGAATGCGGTGAAATGGGATCCTGTAAACAAAGAAAGGTTCTTCGCCATTTTTCTTCAGCAAGCGTGTCTACTATCATATTAGCATTTGAAAACCGACGGCAGAGAAAAATGATCACACGAAGTGAAGACCTCGATGACACTAATGGGTTTCCAGATTATCTGTCGAATAACTTCAGCATTCCTGTCACGAGTATGAAATCTACTGTCTTCTGAAGCGCAAAAGTTGAAGGCGTGTCTTGTAACTGTCGAAAAGTTTTATCAAACACAGTACTTCTCGAGTGATAATTGTTGTATAATCTTTTCTTGTCGTGTTGCCAAATGATTGAATCCATCGCAGTTGAAAATCTTGACAAGTATATATTGGTATTCGTTTTTTTAAATTCTGACGATTCATCATTTCCGCAGCTCTTTTTTCTGTAACCTTCGGTGACAGTGACAAAATAGTGCTCGTCATGAATTCCAAGGTACGGTTATTTATCAAATCTTAGATCATGGTGATTTGTCTTGTCGTTACGGTTATTTTGAGATTTCTAGAACGGTTACAGACTTACAGTTTCAGTTTGTTGATTTTTCGAGTGCGTTTTAGTCGTTTTCTCGCGTCTGATTTTCCCTTAGTTTGTTGATTCATGTGCTGAGAAAGAAAACGAACAATAAACATATTTCGTTGCATTGTTTCGTGAGAAGCTCCGCAGAAATTTATTCTCGTTTCTAATGTTGGTTTTTTCAAGACTTGCGTCCTCTGAATTTTCTTCGTCTCCGCAAATTTTCTAGAAGGTCAAAAACTTTTAGAAATTCAGACGGACTTCGTACTTGATTGTAATGGGAAATGTTTGACCAAGCTGAAATGGAAGAAATTGTTAGGAAAAAAAAGGTTAAAATAGGTCAAATGTATGACTGAATTCAAAGTTGGGTGTTGTCATTTTTTGAAATATTGTGGGTTTCGAGTCCGTAAAAATGAAGTTTGAGTTTACTCGGGAGTATGATTATAACAAAAAACCTTCGAATGAAGAACTCTGATGCGGGTCTTACTCGAGTAAATACTGTACTCCTTGGATGAATCGTGTATATGGTATTCTCCACCCGTCGACCTTCATTGTGAATAATTCTGCCAATCGACACGTATTCTGATTTTTTTTAAATAATTTTTTATGTATCATTTTTTCTTTCCATGACGACATTTTAGACGGACCGTGGGCTGATGGGATCGGCGCCAGGAACCGGCGGGCCGGGCAACGCCACGGGCCTGGACAACATGGCGAGTCTGGATCACTGCCTGTCTGACATCATGCGCAATGACGGCGCCATGCAGAACCATTACCGAGGTCAGTTGGCAAACGATTATTATTTAGAAAATTTGCCCTTTTTTATCCTGCTGCGAGTTTCCTCGGACATGATGACGAGATGGAGAGGAAAACTTATTTTTTTCCGTCTTTTGAATTTTTTTTTAGTGATTGATTTCGGTTCCACGGGAAGGGGCGAAGAGGAATTTGCACTTGTTAGTTCATCGAACGCTTTTTAACTCTAATTCCACGATTTTTGTTGTCGAAAAAATTAACCTGCGGTACAGTTTATCGTTCAATTGAGTGTTTCGCCTTTTTTATACTGACTTATCATTGATTGGGTTTCTCCCGAAAGAGGTCCGGTGGGACTTGGTGTTGATTCTTTAAATTACGGCATGACGAATTTAAAAATATTTTTTTATGCGTAGTCAATCGCGGAATTTTACGGAATTTTCTACGTAAACGAACGATGCTTCTTTTCATGATCTTTACTTGAAATTGCAGTAAGCATTTTTTCCATACAATGAATGGCTAAGAGGTGCGTACCTCATATTCGATTTTGAAATCATTGTTTTCGCGGGAAATTTTCCTCGATTTTCCATGTGAAAATCATGGCACTCATTATTCTCCCGGATGATTTTGTATTGTTTTTTTAATTTCACCAGTTTAATGAGAGTTGATGAGTTTTTCTTTCGCGTATGCGCACCATGTTGGTGAGGGAAACTAAACTCTGCTCCTTTTCAATGGTCGCACTGAAAGAATGTCTTGTCTAGTTTTTATAGTTTTTATTCCGGCTCACCAGAATTGTATATTTTTATGTTTTCTACATATTTAAGCCGGAGCATTGCCACCAACAGGCGCCTCCAGCGTGTGAAACCTTTGTGGTGCAAAGTAGTGTTGAGTTCATGCGTATCATTTTTGGACAGATGTTCGTTCGAGATTTGTGAAATTCTGTGCCTACACTCGTGGCAACGCGGGGAAGGATTAGCGTTACATCAATTGTCCTGTTCAGTTTTGTGATGATCGAGTTCAGTAATTTTACATTTTGTGCGACTTCATTTTTGTAAAGATCTGCCAACCGTTCGACAGCTCTCCCCTCAAAAGATGAGGCGCCCTTCCTGCAGATTTTTGAACTTTTTCATTCACAGCCGCCAAAATTGGCGGCTGTGAATGAAAATGATGGATCTACCTTGGAAGACCTGGAGGCAACCCTTGGTATTAATACCACGTTGATTTCAAGAATTCTAAGGGAAAAGCTGGGCTAATGAAAAAAATGCAGGAAGGGCGCCTCATCTTCTGAGTGGAGAGCAAAACTCTGCCAGAGCTGATTATTTTTGTGCCATTTTAATATCTATTCCGAGAACTTTTGTTACCACCCTCGTATCTGTTTTCATTTATCGCACCTGTTGAAAGTTGTTTCGACTGAGGCGCATACGAGAGAAATTTTTTTTCCGTTGTTTACATGCCACTGCTTCATTCATTTTCCAATCGATATGGTTCTTCACGCCTTACACCCTGATGCCGTGTTCAACACGCCGTATAAATGCAGTATCAATGATATCGTATGGCAGTGGTGCTGAAATGCTCAAGGACAGAACGCCGAAAAGAGTTTTTTGGCGTTATTATTTTAGAAAGACGACTGACCTCTTGGGGGAAAAGGGCGCTACTTTTTTTTTTTTTTTTGCGTGCTGTGTTACTCGAAAATTTTGCGGAATTGGGTACGGCTTTTGTCTTTGTGATGCTTTCGAAATATCCCGCTGATGCGATGTACATTGTCTGAACTGATTATTTCTGTAAAAATGCAATTTCCCCAGCCTATTAATGCAGGTAGTTCTAATCCCGAACCCACAGGGAATCCGGGTATTGAGACATTTCGTGTCCTGAGTAGTGAGTTGCTCATAGGAGGCAAATGTTATCTACATTTATAAATTTTAGATTAATATATTTGCCATTTAGAACTTCATATAGTCTCTAGCTCATTTTTTCTGGAAATTTTAAACGGAATTGATTGAGATTCGGATTCTTGGGCTCCCGTACTGTAAGCCTTGCTATTTTTCCGAGGGCGAAGCAAGTTTTACCCGTGAGATTTGATGATGAAAGTACGGTACACACTATAGTAACTATACAGTATTTGACCAAGAACCTCGTATGGTTCTTGAGTTATAATTTTTGTGCACGAAATTGGGGATGTCAATGAGACGTCAAAAGAGCTGCCGAGAAAGTGTATACAGTATTTAGAATTTCCATTCACTGAAATACTGTACTTATTTTTTCATATTCCTTTTAAAAAAGTAGAAAAAATCTATTAATTTTTGAAGACAATTTTTACCCTTTCGGTGTATGAACTGATGCGCGAAAATGTCGACAACCTCGTGTGCTTACTGAGTGACTCTTGCATAAATCTGCATAATGTACTGTGTATTCCCCCTACCCCCAAAGGAAGTAGGCAAAAAACCTATTGATTCGCACGCGTCACGGCGTTTCTTCCGGGTTTCTTGCTCTCGAACAATTTCGCGTGTTTTTGTTGTGCGTGGAATGCACCGCCCGTCGAGGGGCCTTGCCATTTCTTTGGCCTTGCGGCGACCAATTGCGGTTCCAAGAACGAAAAGGGCGGCGGTGTGAAGAAGGAATTTCTTTCACGCCGAAAAGTTAAGAAGCTCGAAAGGGAAGGTGGGGGGAAGGATTTCTGGGTTGGAATGAACTGGTAAAAAACTTTTTGGAGAATTTGGACCCACGCGGCATTTCGGGCCCTAGAGCAGCGTTCCCTAACCTTTTTGGGCCCGCGGACCGGCAGATTTTCCAAAAAAAGGCTGACCGGCGAAGTTCAAAAAAATTTGAAGAGCAAAATCGTTCTGTCACTTTACAGCAGATATTTTAAAAGTGTAAAAGTATTTTCAATTGTTGTTCGAATCTTTATCTAATATCTCCATCGTCCATTTCATTTTGGAAAATTTTTCGAAATTGATATCATCTTTACGCTGTACTCGCTATTCGAGCACGTGCCGAATGAGACTGTCGCGATTCTCCGGATTGTGAAATGATTTCAAATTGAATTTTGTCTACTGTGATATTCTGCGTTTTATGAATTTTATAAATATTTTGTTTTCATGGGGTAGCTATTTGTAAAGGACGTTCACCTGTACGAACCTTCAACGTCTGGCTATCTTCGTGTTCCCATCGAGGAAATAGCTCTTCACTCGGTTTCTCATGGGACTTGATTTTTTCCGTTCGTTGCCTGCGCTTCTTCCTGAAGCCAGTGTACTTCGCCGTAGTTCACAACTTGTGTACGTAACGGTATCGATCATCACGGCGTACGTTCCCTGTTTGGTTTTTTGTTGTTGTTGTTGAAACATTACCTGTCGGGTCGTCTTGTAAAGCGATGATCACGCGGGGAGAGAGAGAAGAGAAACAGCCAAACCGCTGGCTTGTTCGCCTTGCCTGGCCAGCAAGTGCGAGAGAGGAAGTAAAGTCAGGGTCGGTCTCTCTCACTATCGTAAAGAGAACACAAATGCGTTGGCCTGGCTGGACTGGACTGGACTGTGCATCAAGGGTCGATGCTCTGGCCCAGACGACGACGAGGTTGAGGAGGAGCTTTGGTGTAGTAATTCTTACGTTTGCCGACTGAGGAAAATGAGGAGGAGGAGGAGGAGGCGGATTGGAAGAAGACTGCATTATGCCGGAATTTTTCTTCCTGTATCGTCTCCCCCCCCCTCCCTGTTCATGAATAGAGGTTATTCGTGAAGTTCGTGTACTGTAGTCGAATAATATCATGACTACAATATTTACTGCGCTTTAGAACGTGTTTTGTTCCATATCACGTTCTGTTCTGCATTGTTACAATTGCTGCGCAACTGCACCTTCTTTACATCCTTGATTGAAACTACGCCTTTCATGCTGTTTGTCCAACCCTTGGCCTGCCGCGCAACCAAGTACTGTATGTTGACACCAATCTGAATCAGTTGCTATGCTTGGCACTGACCTTGATTCTGGATTGTCTATATACAGTCAAACCCCAATAAGACGCCACCATTTGTCCGGAGCAATTTTGGCAGTTTAAAGGGGTTCGTGGTTTATCAAATATTCAATTTTAAATTATTTGATCAAAATACTTAATTTTCCTCCAAAAGTCATAGAGATACAGGTTTTGTATAGAAACTTCAGTAATTTTCCAAAGAGTATTGCTGTGATTAATGCATTACTCCTAGAGAAAATAAAATTTGCTGCATCGATTTACTCAAATTTTAAATTTGGTCAATATATTGTTCAAAATTTCCAAAAAATGATCATTTTTATTTTTTATTCTTACAAATACAAGATCCTTGACAGAAATTATTCTACCGTGATGTTGGTGTTGTAACAAAGAAAAAGCTAATAGGAAACAGCACTTTTGTTTCAATAATGATGGCGGATGGCAGTTGGCATCTTATCTATGTTTTCTATAGAATTTAACAAGGAGATTTGTTTCATTCAAAATTTTGGCAGTTGCCAAGGGTAGCGCTTTATTGGGGGGGGGGGATGTCTTAATGGGGTTTGACTGTATATGAGTGTATTATATTGTGAAGCAAGCTTACTCTGACCAAATGCTGCTGCAAAACCTTGTCATTGCTCTGCTCAGAAAATAAGTCTGATTCTACCCTGTGTGTAGCTGTAGGGAATACAATAATTTCTTAAAATCTATTTGGAGTATTATTTGTATCCTCTGAAAGCAAACATAAAATGAATTTAAATCTTCGACAAAACAGTCAACCGCTGATACTATTAAATTAAACTGATTGCCTGATCAGTAATTAGAAGTTTTGGTTTAATACCCATCAGATACGACAACATGGTGTCCGGAATGGTTTCCTCCTAGCTTATTTTCCATTGTGGTCTATTGACGAATTAAGCTGGTTGGACCATTCAAGAAGAAAAGGGATTTGGGCACGGGCCTCAGGAAACTGGCGCCAGGCGCCTTGGGCTAATACCCCGAAAATTGTGCAGAAAGTATAAGGTTATTTTCGAAAGGGGGACCATACTCTCCTCCAAGTCTCAGGTATATAAGGAATACTAAATACCTGTTCTTCAGAGGTATCCACGACAACATTACTGAAATGTTTGTGCGACTATATTCTCACACACACAAAAAATGTCGCCTTTGAGCATTTCAGTAAAATCTTGTTACCACAAAGGTGCCAGTAAAATATCTTTGTTGTGAAGAAAGTAAGAAGCAGTCAATCCCCAATTGAGCCCCGTCATTTGTCCTGGCACACCAAGAGAGGCAATTGTGTAATATGGTTTTGTTTATGGGTTCTACTGTAAGCAAAATAAGCTTGTTTCCTCATTGTCAGGTCCCTGAATCTGTTTCAGAGAGAAAAGGCACAGGAAATAAGTTTGAATAAATATGTACTGTTTCATACTGTATTTCAATGTATTTATTGAGGATACTGTAAGTGTATACAAAATGTTACACATATTGTGTCTTGTGAAGAGCAGAGCTGACGTTTTGTTTTGAGTTTTATATCAAGTACCATCACGATGCAATGGTTGACTGTAGCATGGTGGCTATTGGGCACGGACCTACAAATGCATTCCTTTTAAAGGGAACTAAAATAACATTGTGACTATTGGACAGGGACTGAAAAAACGAATTCATTGTAATCTACTTTTCGTTTTAATGAGATTCGTCCGAATTTGGTACAGTCAGGTGTCGGCGCATTTTTTTTTTCATTCAGATGAACTCTCTTTACATCGAAATTCATGGAAACACGAGGAAATTCGTCGTTGAGAAACCCTGTGGGAAGGGTAGTGAACCACAATGAGGCCAAAAAATGTCGACGTACAGGAAAAATCATTTGAGTTCACCTTTATATTGTTTCACGCGCTCATTCTAAAATCGCAATTCCAGAATTTCCGGCATCTTGAAAATTTCCTCGGAGTCCCCGTTATTTTTCATTATTTAATGTACAGTATATTTATGGTCCGTGGGCCATGTGCCTGATAGAAGAAAGAAAAGCGCAGTACTCGAGGGAATTCGGAAAAATTTGGTGTAATTTTAAAATTTTTGCTACCGTATTTACTTTGCGTATCTTTTTTTATTTTCAAAACCGACTTCTGACGACGGAATAGTTTTCCTATCTTACCCTGATATAAAAATAAAATGTATAAAGAATTCGGAAATATTCTACTATACCCATAACACTCCGCAAAATGTTTGGATATGATTTCTCAAAATGCTGTATGGAAACGTCGATCCTCATCTCAGAATTTCCCTTTAATTTTGGGTATCCCAACGTAGAAATGACATTTCTACGGAGAGAAAAATCGAGGTGCGCGTGGTACTCGATAATTTTTTTTTTTCACCACGCAAAGTGGCATCATTTCAGTGTTCCTTGTGGTGCTGCTGCCATTTTACCTGACACGTTACCTTAGCTTTGAAGAGGTAAATGTAATCATTTTCTTTGTTTGTTTTTTTAGGGGGATAACGATTTTAAAAGTTCCTAGAGTTTTAGATATTAGTATTGCGCCGAAATTCATGAAAAGCTGCCGCCCGTTTCAAACAATCACAAAAGAATTCGATCACTGTTTTTTTTTTATGTAATCATGTTGAGAATGTTTTGAAGCTGATTTTTTTGTGTGTTGGTTTTGAAATTGTATGTGTTAGCTGGAGAATTTCCCTTTGATCGTGGTTCGATCCGGATCGCTGGTGAACTTGATGGATCTTTTTTGTGGCGCTGTTCTCGCAATTTCGGCACTTGGCTCTTGCAGAAAGAAAATACGGTACTTTGGAATTTTTATCGTTGGGTCATTTTCCCGCTGTTCTTCGATTGAGACTCCCCCAAGAGATTGACAAGAATTTTTATCGAATATTTGCGTTCAATTTGTCCAAGGTGAACAATTGGCAAGTGTTGTTGAATTTTGTTTTTAAAAACCAGCCCTTGATTCCCTTCGTCTGATCAAAAATTATTTGCTTGTACTGTACCGTACCACTATTTCGTTCATCATTGTCGGTCCGATTTTCTGATGAAATAAATTTTAATATTGCCGGAATATCAATTCAATTCCTTTTCTGAAACGTGTCGAGAAATTAACCCCTTGTTTACGACCCCAAGAGATGTGGACTTCCTACGACGAAATTCTATTCTAAGGACCAGAAAAAATTCTTTGTGGAGAGAATTTCGTCGTAGGTAACCCCTTTGTAATGAGGAGAACCCAATGGGGCAACAAAAACTTCATTACGCAGAAAATAACTGTCGAAAGTTCACCAAATCAAAGTTATTTTTCTGTTCGCCGAACAGAAAAACTTCCCTTTTCATTCGAACCTGAAGAACTTTCTCGAGTGAGGGAATTGAATAAAGGTATCGGAAAAATAATGACGAAAAGATGAACATTATCTTGCTGAATAGAGGAGGTATCAATTGACCTGCGCACATTTGTGTGATGTTCATTATTATTTTGTTAATTTCGATTGTTTTTTCATCACGTACTGTATGTGAGTACTCCTGACCCCTGAGCGCATTAATTCGGTAAATGAACTCCTTCGCTGATTATTTTTTGTCTTCTTCTTGGAAATGTTATTTACAATCAGCTGTTTTGTTTCTTTTTTCCTATTTCACGTCGAATGTAGAACATGCGCACGATTCACACGATTGCTGCATTCAATTAATGTGATGAAGCGATTGCTCGTTGATTCGGAGCAAATTAAAATTTTTCTTGAAGACCTTTTTTCACGGCTCCTATTTTTGGTCTTTCTTTTTTGCCCTTCGTTGAATGTTAACAAAAACTTCATTACGCAGAAAATAACTGTCGAAAGTTCACCAAATCAAAGTTATTTTTCTGTTCGCCGAACAGAAAAACTTCCCTTTTCATTCGAACCTGAAGAACTTTCTCGAGTGAGGGAATTAAATAAAGGTATCGGAAAAATAATGACGAAAAGATGAACATTATCTTGCTGAATAGAGGAGGTATTAATTGACCTGCGCACATTTGTGTGATGTTCATTATTATTTTGTTAATTTCGATTGTTTTTTCATCACGTACTGTATGTGAGTACTCCTGACTCATGAGCGCGTTAATTCGGTAAATGAACTCCTTCACTGATTATTTTTTTTTCTTCTTCTTGGAAATTTTATTTACAATCAGCTGTTTTGTTTCTTTTTTCCTATTTCACGTCGAATGTAGAACATGCGCACGATTCACACCTAACGACGTAAGTTAATTACACTACTTCGCTAACGAGCAACTAAGCCTCGTTTAATTTTAAAAAGAACTTCTGGAAAAAAGTGCCGAGGATAAAAACCAGAAAGAAAAAACGGGAAGCAACTTACAAGGAAACAGTGAAACCCCGACATGAGGACAATTTGACGAATGGACATTGATTTTTCAATTTAAAAAGAGGCCTGATATCGGACACTAACTCAACATGCGGACATCTCATGATGAAATTGCTATTAAGGAAAATTGACTTTCATTAGGCATAATTGCAAGAAACGGATATTTTCAACCCTAAGAGTTATGCCAGAGAAATTCTTCGATATTTCTCCCATTGTGTTCCCATTCATTCAGCTAGTTTAAAAAAATTACCTATGGCATAGTGTGACTTCCTTTTCTCTTTGTGACTTGAATGTCATTTTTACAGATGCCGACATTTAAATGTACTCTACAGAGGTACACTGTTCAATGCTCCAACTGTTCTTAATGAGTTGAAAAGATATTCACTAAGTCAAATTCAAGTAGCAAACAATTTTTTTCATGGAATTTTGAAAAAATATTTCTTCCATAAAGCACCAATTGAAAATTATATATTGTAAGTCTATGGGAAAACAAGACTCAACTTAGGGACACTCTTGATCACGTCCGCTAGGGGTCTCACTGTACTCACAGTTCAAAACGTTGCTGCGTTCAGTTTATGATGTGAATCGAATGTGCATTTAATGTTTGAAGTGATTTTGAAGCTCTTTTCTTTTACAGCTGATTTTTACTGATCATTTTCTTCGCCGTTCAGGCATCATATACATTCAGTGTCTCTGAAACTACTCGAGTATACTGTACCCTTATCCCGATTATGTTTCTATAAATTTTTAAGAGATATTCGTGGTGGAATACAAAGATGCCGTTTCTTTATGACGATGGAAAAAAGGGGTCGTTAGCCTCCACGTCCGAGCCGACGGGTCGGTTGACCGTTGAAGCGTTTTCTTCCCCGTTGTGTCGTTGAACCTGGCGCAAGTCCCGAGTCCTTCGATCGGGTTCACGGACTCGGGGCCCAGCGACGCGAGTCACCTGTTCTCTGCTCTGTTCCACGTTGCTCATATCCTAGGAGGGTATTCTGATTGTTTTTATTCTTTTTTTCTTTCAGGTTACATGAATCCGGGCTCCATGTCGGCGCAGATGAACCAGTATTCTGGTGAGTTGGCGTTTTCATTTATTTATAATTCGTCTTTTTCTCTCCTCGTCCCCTTTTTTTATTTTGGTCGCGAATCGGGGTGAGCATATGCCAAGAGTATTTTGCGGTTTTGTCTCCCGGTGCATCTGATGACGGTGGGATGAGTTGGGGTTGGAGTAATTAGGAAATTTGTGTTCTACATGAGGCGAAAACCGCCTCGAAAAAAAGTCAATTTACCGGTACTTGGTTTGATGTTTCCTGTTGGCGTTTTTCGTTGCCCGCATTGCGTTTCATAGTAAAAAATATGAATAAAATGAGCGATTTGTTGTCCAATTTTCAGCTCCACAGCTGGGCATCACGTGTTCGGTGCGTTTTCGCAGCTTTGGGGGGCAATGCCTGCTGAAGTGCATCGAAATTGGCGAGGAAAATGTCTGGCGGAATTTTTAAATAATCGCGTGATGCGTTGAAAATTGTTTTGTTTTTTTTTAAGGAAGAAAAGCTGTATGCGGGAATTTTATAAACGTTGCGAGCGGAACCTCGTGTTCGATGCTGAAGCTGAACTTCATGAAAGTGTACTCTCTACTACGAAAGTCAAGGGATTATGGAAATTCAATGTAGGGATAATTCCGTTTCAGAGAACACCTTTACCGTTGAACCTCCAAGTCGAACTTCAAGGGACCAGAAAAAAAAATCGACTTGGATGTTTTGAATTGAGCTACAATACAATTATACGAAGACCTTTTGTCCTGGGAAACATAGAAAAATTGCTCAAAATTGCGTAAATTCTGAGGCTGAAATTACTTCTTGAATGAGTTGAAAGCATCATGAACTTGTAGGCAGGGTTCATTTGCCCAATTAAGTCTCTCACCTCCTTTTTAAAACAAATCAATTTCTGTTTTTATTGTTTTTTCTTTCTTGTGTCAAGAAAATACTGTAACAGCCAACATGCCACAGAAAATTCGACTTATGGAGGTCTGAGGGAAAAGTCCTCGGACAGGACCTTAAAAATAAAAATTCGACTTGCGGAGGTTCGAGTTATCGATGTTCAACTTATGTTTTGAGAACCCTTAGCCTGGGACCAAAAAAATTGTAGATAAGTCAATTAAAAAAAATAGAATTCAGGTGTTTTTGTTGTTGCCGCCAATGGCAGATATCCACTTGGAATTGTTGACCGCGCGAACTTAGCGGAGTAACTTAATGGACATAACTTCTACAGATGTTGAGGTTTTGATCTTTGAGTGGAATGGAGGGAATGGGTCGTAAGGTTCTGGAGATGGAGATAAAGGTATATTTTATCTTAATTGGAGAAACCGGACGAGGTTTTTGTCGAGCGATGAGTCAGGATGCGTGGGCTTACAAGTAATGAATTGTCGACACTTCAAGAACACGAACGGCTGACATCAAGGTATTAACTAAGACCTTACACCAGTCTATAACATACTAACCATGAGCCTTTAACCAAAGGCTTAACCCGTTAATAAATATCGCCACAGTTGAAAAAATAGGCGCCGATTTGTCTCCACTGAATTGAACTTCGGGGTTGCATTGGATTCTTCGCATGCCACGTTTGATTTTTAAAATCGTACTATTTTTTTCTTTTTGGCGTAAAAATAAGCGAATAAACAATTTTCACGGATTATACCTTTGTTTCAGGAAGTTTAGTTTAGCATCGCCCCTGAGCACAAGATAATCTAACTGCGGGTCAAAGTCCGTTATGACGAATTATTCTTGAAGACTTCACGGACATTTTTTGAAGGTCCCGAAAGGAACGCCGTTGACATAATTTTAAAAATATTTTATCGTTGACAAATTTAACGATTCATCGTTAGGACGTGATTTTCTGGTTGATAATGTGTGTTGGATTTAATCCTTCGGAATTTTTTTAAACTTCATATGGATTGTGCTGCTTTTTTTTTCTCGCTTTTGAAGTGAACAATTATGAACCCATGTTTACTACTCGCAGCCGTATCAATGAATGTAACTCAAATTAGTTGAATATAAATCTCAAGAGTCTTTTATAGTGGGGTAACTTCGATGCTTTTGAGGAAAACTAAATTTTCGTTATATTCCCTCTGACGAATTTCAATCATTTTGAAATTGCTTGATATAGTTAGAATATAGAAAACACAGGATTGAAAAAATTGGAATGATCTGGCGAATATTCTTAATTAATTATACAGTCCTGCAGTAATTTAGTCATGTTACACCTCTTGATTATAGTAAACGTTGCGACTTGAAAAATTAACTTCGTTACAATGAAACATTCGTCATTTGGAAACTCAAATACAGTAACATGGCTATTTGGCGGGGACCTGAAGAACGAATTCGTTGTAATCGAACATTCTTGACGAAATTCTGCTGTAACGATTCTTAGTGAGGGGGTTTTGGAAGTTTTTTGTGAGCGATTTCACCTGGAATACTGAGTCACGACCGAGTGAGGTCCTGTCTTTTAACGCATAGGACCTGCATTTCAATATTTTTGTAAAAAAACATAACTGATGCTTATTTTCAAATGATCTATGGTTAGCATACCAAACAATTGAACTTCATTTGTTGTCCGAAATTCGGGTTCAACAAACAGTGAGACCCCAAGATGCGGACGTAATTGGTTCATCAAGAGTGTCCCTAAGTCGAGTCTCATTCTCCCTTGGACTTACATTATATAATTTTTAATTGGTGTTCTATGTACATCATAATTCCATGAAAATAAAAATTGTCTCCAAATTTAAACTGATCCAATCAATATATTTCAACACAATATGTTTATTTGGGGGGAATTGAATGCTGATACCTCAGTACAGTACATAGAAATGTTGGCATTCTCTGCAAAAATAACATTCAAGTGAAAAAGAGAGAAGTAAGTCACTCTATGCTGGAGGAACTTTTTTAAAATTAGCTAAATGGATGGTAAATTGGTGAGAGAAATGCCCAAGAACTTTTCTTACATAAATTTTAGGGTTGGAAATATCCGTTTCTTGTAATTTGGCCTGAAAGTATTTGCAATTTTATCACGAAATGTCCCTATGTTGAGCCAGTGTCCTCATGTTGGGTTTTTTTATTTTTTTATGAGAAAAGAAGTGTCCCTATGTTGAATTGTCCGCAGGTCGAGGTGTCCGCATGTGGGGGTCTAACTGTATTTCGCTCGGGTAGTTGAGTTCGCTGTTTATCGATGGCCAGGTCAAGTGAGCATTTTGCCGTATTTTCTAGGGTGCATCTGCCACATCCTGCAACTGCCCGGAATGGCGTTGGTTCTTCCTGTTGCGGTTTCTTTCTTCCTTCCACTGCTTCTCCTCCCAGCTTGTGTCAAGTCGGGTTTCACCTTCGTGTTGTGTCTCCTCTCTCGTTCTTGCTGCACAAGCCGTAGTAACACGAAAACACGCATCGATCATCTATTCGTACCCACCCGAAGAAGCACACGAGTTTAAAAAAAAAAATAGAGAAAAAAAGAGGGACACACGCTCACGAACACGCATCGAATTACGCGTTTATCCCTGGCCCCCAACGCCCCGCTGCTCCAGAGTTGCTTTCCAAACAAAATATTTTTTTCGACGCGCACGAACTGAAATTCACTTCGGAAGTTTTTGGAAACAAGAGAAGAAAATTCGGAGCAAGAAGGTGTCAGCTAAGAGACTGAAGATAAAAAGAAAGATTTATGTTTTTTATGTCAGTGCTTCCCTACCTTTTTGTTTCCGTGGACCGGGAAATTTTCATAAAATTTTTTCCGGACCTGCAAATTTACGAAAAACGTCCTTCTGACCGGCATAAAAATGTTTGCGGACTCAACAATTTTTTTGCTTGCAAGACTCCATGGCAGGCATTTAAAAAGTGTCTTCTTTGCAAAAATTAAGAACCAAAAAAGTGGAATGTCTTTGAAAAAAAAAGAAAGGGGAGCTTGAAGAAAGGTTTCTCAGAATGAAAAATGTAGATTGAATTATTTCAGNAGGGAATGGGTCGTAAGGTTCTGGAGATGGAGATAAAGGTATATTTTATCTTAATTGGAGAAACCGGACGAGGTTTTTGTCGAGCGATGAGTCAGGATGCGTGGGCTTACAAGTAAACTTAACAGCTGTGAAGTTCTTGTGCTTGCCGACTGTAGTTCCATAATTGATTCTGGAATGTGGTCAGATATTGTATGATTGGTACTCGGAAATTGGTTTCCGAATTGGGCAATTATTTATAGCGGTTAGTTGAAAAAATAGGCGCCGATTTGTCTCCGCTGAATTGAACTTCGGGGTTCTGCGGATTCTTCGCATGCCACGTTTGATTTTTAAAATCGTAGTTTTTTTTGGAGTAAAAATAAGCGAATAAACAATTTTCACGGATTATACCTTTGTTTCAGGACGTTTAGTTTAGCATCGCCCCTGAGCACAAGATAATCTAACTGCGGGTCAAAGTCCGTTATGACGAATTATTCTTGAAGACTACACGGACATTTTTTGAAGGTCCCGAAAGGAACGCCGTTGACATAATTTTAAAAATATTTTATCTTGACAAATTTAACGATTCATCGCTAGGACGTGATTTTCTGGGTGATAATGTGTGTTGGATTTAATCCTTCGGAATTTTTTAAAACTTCATATGGATTGTGCGGCTTTTTTTTCTCGCCTTTGAAGTGAACAATTATGAATCCATGTTTACTACTCGCAGCCGTATCAATGAATGTAACTCAAATTAGTTGAATATAAATCTCAAGAGTCTTTTATAGTGGGGAAACTTCGATGCTTTTGAGGAGAACTGAATTTTCGTTATATTCTCTAAAGAATTTCTATCTTTTTGATATTGTTTGATATGGTTAGAATATAAAAGAACTCACGATTTAAAAAAATTGGAATGATCTGGCGAATATTCTTAATTAATTATACAGTCCTGCAGTAATTTAGTCATGTTACACCTCTTGATTATAGTAAACGTTGCGACTTGAAAAATTAACTTCGTTACAATGAAACATTCGTCATTTGGAAACTCAAATACAGTAACATGGCTATTTGGCGGGGACCTGAAGAACGAATTCGTTGTAATCGAACATTCTTGACGAAATTCTGCTGTAACGATTCTTAGTGAGGGGGTTTTGGAAGTTTTTTGTGAGCGATTTCACCTGGAATACTGAGTCACGACCGAGTGAGGTCCTGTCTTTATAACGCATAGGACCTGCATTTCAATATAAAAACATAACTGATGCTTATTTTCAAATGATCTATGGTTAGCATACCAAACAATTGAACTTCATTTGTTGTCCGAAATTCGGGTTCAACAAACAGTGAGACCCCAAGATGCGGACGTAATTGGTTCATCAAGAGTGTCCCTAAGTCGAGTCTCATTCTCCCTTGGACTTACATTATATAATTTTTAATTGGTGTTCTATGTACAAAATACTCATCATAATTCCATGAAAATAAAAATTGTCTCCAAATTTAAACTGATCCAATCAATATATTTCAACACAATATGGATATTTGGGGGGAATTGAATGCTGATACCTCAGTACAGTACATAGAAATGTTGGCATTCTCTGTAAAAAATAACATTCAAGTGAAAAAGAGAGAAGGAAGTCACTCTATGCTGGAGGAACTTTTTTAAAATTAGCTAAATGGATGGTAAATTGGTGAGAGAAATGCCCAAGAACTTTTCTTACATAAATTTTAGGGTTGGAAATATCCGTTTCTTGTAATTTGGCCTGAAAGTATTTGCAATTTTATCACGAAATGTCCCTATGTTGATTCAGTGTCCTCATGTTGGGTTTATTTATTTATTTATGATAAAATAAGTGTCCCTATGTTGAATTGTCCGCAGGTCGAGGTGTCCGCATGTGGGGGTCTAACTGTATTTCGCTCGGGTAGTTGAGTTCGCTGTTTATCGATGGCCAGGTCAAGTGAGCATTTTGCCGTATTTTCTAGGGTGCATCTGCCACATCCTGCAACTGCCCGGAATGGCGTTGGTTCTTCCTGTTGCGGTTTCTTTCTTCCTTCCACTGCTTCTCCTCCCAGCTTGTGTCAAGTCGGGTTTCACCTTCGTGTTGTGTCTCCTCTCTCGTTCTTGCTGCACAAGCCGTAGTAACACGAAAACACGCATCGATCATCTATTCGTACCCACCCGAAGAAGCACACGAGTTTAAAAAAAAAAATAGAGAAAAAAAGAGGGACACACGCTCACGAACACGCATCGAATTACGCGTTTATCCCTGGCCCCCAACGCCCCGCTGCTCCAGAGTTGCTTTCCAAACAAAATATTTTTTTCGACGCGCACGAACTGAAATTCACTTCGGAAGTTTTTGGAAACAAGAGAAGAAAATTCGGAGCAAGAAGGTGTCAGCTAAGAGACTGAAGATAAAAAGAAAGATTTATGTTTTTTATGTCAGTGCTTCCCTACCTTTTTGTTTCCGTGGACCGGGAAATTTTCATAAAATTTTTTCCGGACCTGCAAATTTACGAAAAACGTCCTTCTGACCGGCATAAAAATGTTTGCGGACTCAACAATTTTTTTGCTTGCAAGACTCCATGGCAGGCATTTAAAAAGTGTCTTCTTTGCAAAAATTAAGAACCAAAAAAGTGGAATGTCTTTGAAAAAAAAAGAAAGGGGAGCTTGAAGAAAGGTTTCTCAGAATGAAAAATGTAGATTGAATTATTTCAGCAGGTGAAAATTTGAAGTTTTGTTAGGAGAAAAGCCAACTTACACTTTTTCATCAGATGATGTAATTACCATTGTCCTTGCAACATTTCAGATAAAAACATGACATTTAATGCCACTTATATTAATTTATTATGCAGCAGAAAATTTCCTGCGGACCGGCAAAAAACTTCTGCGGACCGTCAGTTGAAGCGAAAGTAGGAAGAGATTTTTCGTAACTGGGCTAGTTCAGTTGAACAGAATCAAAAGACAGTATTCAAAGTCCTTGAATTTTCTGGGGAAATTTTGGTTAACAATTGTGGCCCTGAAAAAGAGAAGAAATGAAAATGTAATTTGATGCTTTTCGAAAGGCAATGGGGTGGATGGATTCTTGAATTATACGTGTTGTCAACTTCTTTACATGGCTGTTTTGAGCCGGAAAGGTAACCAATTTCAATTTCCCATAATTTCCGGGCGACATTCTTTTTTTCCGTAACATCCCGGAGTGGAATGATTATTATGCTGGTCGTGGGGAATTCGACTTGAAGAGGTTCAAATGTATAATTCACATGTTACCCATGAATTTAATTCATCAATTCTGTGATACGGGCCCTGGAAAATTCGTTTTTGCTACAGGAATATCTGCGGCTGTCGAGCATGAGAAATAGATTACCCGATTTTTATGAATTCTGTAAATAATTACGGCCAATATCCAGTTGATGATAGTAAGAAATACAGTAATAAATCGGTATAACTCAGACCCCTCTTTCATTCCGCTTCAATCCAGAATGTCGAGGGCGCATTTCAAGGATGAAATACATTTTTTTCATGTTCAAATNCAGACCCCTCTTTCATTCCGCTTCAATCCAGAATGTCGAGGGCGCATTTCAAGGATGAAATACATTTGTTTCATGTTCAAATTGAGAATGAGTCGCGATTTCAGTTACCGGAGTAATTTTGAAGTACAGTACTGTCCTACTCAGTATGTTCAACACATATTTTCAGGTAGAAAATTCTCATCTGAATGAAATTTCGTTGTAGATGATCACAAAGTGTGAGGCGTCGACGTTAAAACGTATTCCAGTGCCAGGAATATTTTCATCCTCTCTGTGAAAGGCAAATACAGTGAGACCCCAAGATGCGGACGTAATTGGAGCATTAAGAGTGTCTTAAGTCAAAATCTCCCAAAGTCGAGTCTCATTTTCCCTTAGACTTACATTATAATTTTAATTTGTGTTCTATGTACAAAATACTCACCATAATTTCATAATTATAAAAATTGTCTCCCAATTTAAACTGATCCAATCAATATATTTCAACACAAAATGGACATTTGGGGAATTGAATACTGATACCTCTGTACAGTACATAGAAATTTTGGCATTCTCTGTAAAAATAACATTTGATTGAAAAAGAGAGAAGGAAGTCCCTCTATGCCGGAGGTAATTTTTTTTAATTAGCTAAATGGAGGGTAAATTGGTGAGAGAAATGCTCAAGAACTTTTCTTATATCAATTTTATGGATGGAAATACCTGTTTCTTGTAAATTGGCCTGAAACTTATTTGCAATTTTATTACGATGTCCCTGGGTCGATTCGATGTCCTTATGTCAGGTTTTTTTTATTAATTTTTTATGGGGAAATAAGTGTCCCTCTGTCGAATTGTCCGCATGTGGGGGTCTCACTGTAAATGGGTTTGGAAGATTACGTAGTACAGTATTACGAAATATTACGAGTAATTTTAGATTAACTTACGGCACATTTAACTCGTCTTTTCGATTATAAAATTCTCTTTGATGAAATGTCGTTGTAGATGATTATTGACGAGTGCGTGCGTCGACGTTGAAACGCATTCGAGAACCAGGAACACTTCCGTTATCGCTGTGAAAGTCGAAGAAATGGATTATGATTATTACGTCACGCTTTTTATATTATGCTGTAATTCAATTCCAGTCGTTGTCAGCTTCAATTTTCGCCGTTTCTTCAGACTTGAAATTTTGTCTGAATTGACGGAGAAATTCGTTCCACGGGGCCCGTGGCTTCATGGAACATCCACGGTCAAATAGCGGGTCGCTTTCTTCGCGTGAGAGCAGAGACAGACCGTATTTCGAAGCGTATGGGCTAAGTAAACATTTCCTCCCGATTTGCTCATGGAAGCAAATGGCGACTGTTGGGGTGGAGGGGATGTTATCAATTCTTATCTTCTTTTTTTTATTACTGTTCATTTCATTGAAACTAACGCTGTGCGAGTTCTGCTTCGCGACATGAGAAGGAAGAAAGAAAGAAAAGAGCAGTGTTGAGGGGGGGGGGGGAAGGAAGAAAACTCAGCTGATCTCGCCGGTCTGTGACAAACTGTGCCTGGGCATGGGTTGACGTCGCCCCCATTTTCTGGCACGTGTGGAAGACGACTGTCGGGTATGTGCCGGCAGTTTATTTCCACGGAGACCAGAGAGAGAGGAATAGTTAGTTGGTTGTTCGGGGTGTTTGAGGAGATCCGTCTGTGTCTATTTCTGGGGTTCATGTGTGAGGGGGGGCGACGTCAACCCATGCCCAGGCACAGTTTGTCACAGGGGGGGGGGGGGGGGGGGGGGGGGGGGGGGGGAGAGGAAGAGGCTGGAATGTGGCTGGCTTTTCTTTCCGGGTTTTCGCTTTCTGTACCTTGCATACTTTTTTTTAGATTTTTTTTTCGTCTTGGGAGTGTGCGGGGAAATGGGAACCAGATTTCCTAGGGAAATCGCGTTTCCTTGCTTTTCTTGTCATTGATTTCTCTGCACTCTCCGAGGAATTTTTGGGCGAATGACAAGGTTCCTTTTTAGAATTCGGAATGATCAATGATATTTTTGTTTTTCGCTAAGAAATATTTCAGTTTATTAGCGTTGCAATGTCAATTTTTCATAGCGAAATTCTTATTGCGGGATGTAATTACAGTACAGTGGGCCCCCATCTTATGTCATCAATCCGTTCCAGGATGGACGTCGTAACATGGGGCTGTCATAAGTTGAAACCCTATTTCCCATAAGGATACATTATGAAAAAATTAATTCGTTCCAGAAAAAAAAAAATGTAAAATAAAATTACCTTTATATTTCAAATTGTTGTCAGAAATTGCATTAATAGACACAAG